AGGGAATCTTTCAAATCCTCTGATTATGCCTGATATTGGAGGTGAGTGGAGACCGCGTCCTCCCATGGTAGTACTCAACTACTCATCACTTTAGATTGGATCTCGCAGTAACTCCCAAACTAGGTGGCGATCATCTGGTAGACGATGTTGGATGCCCATACCACCATCACTTTGATCACACTTTTGGCCCCTTCAATATGCTCCATGGAGGCGGTTTGTGCCGCCCCATCAACGTACGTCAGTACTATAACTTATTTAAGTGGTCGTGGTTGAATAATTTTACAAATTTGTCACGTACGTACGTACCTCAATTGATTTGTGGAATTGTGGAGGGGGGAATGGTAACTTCCTGTTGCGGAAACTGAAGAGGAAGACTTGGAGGAGGGAGGCGAGTGAACTCTTGTCGTGCAGTTTGGTCTTCACATAAAGAGGCGAGCCCATGAAGAAGAGGAAGTAGGATACGAGCATGAGGCACGTTTGGATGATGAAGGCGGCCAACCAGCCCTTCTCCCTTTGAACGACGCGTAGTTCCTGCTGATGAAGTGGCTTTGCATGAGCATATCCCAGCAGCTCCCAAGGTGAAGAAGACAAGGCTCGTCACTAGAACAACAACCTGCCAGCTTTGGGGGGATTCGCCCAGTTGGCTTCCGCCAACTGTCGTCATGGTGAGGAGCAACATCTCCTAGACAGTGAACCATTTGCAAGTAGAAATTAAAGGCGGTTCCTATTACCATATATATGTGTACGTGCATAGAACATACATAATAACTAGATATGCATACATATGTATGATCAAAGAGCAGATGGTGGAGAAGGCAAGGGTCTTGGTAAGTGTCGGAAACTATGGCTCTCATCATGATTACCATATTGAGAGTCCACCAAACACCAGATAAATCGTGGAGGCGGCTTGTGCGCCCACATTGAAGCAGTCAGTGAGATAGCAGAAGAGCATCGACAGTGCTCCAATGGATCCCATCTGTTCGAATGTCTCGTTCGCTATGATGCAAATACGACTCTCTTGTGCTTCAATCGAGAAGGCCATTATATTGTTCTCTGTTTGGTGGGAAACAAGGAAACTAAGGGGGAAAAGTGAAGAATTTTGTTGCTGAGCTTTTGATAGAAATATGGTTTCTATCTATTTTTGGTTCGCATTGATGGATGTTTATGCGTTGAGACATTTTTGTTATTTTGGTTTATATGGGTACTTTCTGGGATATTTGGTAGTTATTTGGTATTTCAGTAATTGGGTTAATAATGGATAGTTTAAGAAAATTCGTCGGGTCTATATATTTTGTAATTGTGGAGAGATTTTATTAAGCAGAATATTAAGATAATTTCCATAAATCTTGTCTCTCACATCTCTCCCTCTTGGCCGATTCCTTTCTCTCCTTCTTCTTTCTCTCGACTGCCCCAACCCGTCTAACCTCCTCCTCTCTTCTTCCCTTATTCTGTCTCTTTCCCCTAAATCCCCAACATATTCCTTTTAAATTCATAATCCCTCTATCCCCAATTTACCTTATTATCCCGTTGTGATCAGTTCTCTAAACGAGACGTTCGAGATCCAGGTTCTATCAGTTGTATCATAGCCCAGTTGAGTGCCAAATTAGAGCATGGAAAGATGTCGAATCAAGACCAGGCCGAAGACAATGCAAGAAAAGGTTGTTGTGGAGGACATAATAGCGGAAGAGTGGTTACGTGAGACTATGTTGGAGATGGCCTCCATGCCGCTGGTGGAGTCCGAGGTGTTCAGGAAGCAAAAAATTGTTGTGGAGGAAGCTATGGACGTCTTGGCAACCCCAGTACCCGGCGAAAAGGGCACGACAGTGAAGACGCCGACGAGTGAACCTGCCTTGTCCGCATAGTCGATGGCTGCGACTGTCTAGGTGGAGCTAACAAAGCGTGCACAAGAGGGCCACAACAGCTTGAGCATCGTGGGCGGTCCGGGCGGCTTGACGAGAGCCCCGAGGCTCGTGGGCTTGGAGCCAGGAATTGGAGCGAAAGGGTTAACCGGGTCGGATCCGTCTGCTGGACTTCCGCCTAAGCCCACAGATGAAGAGATTGCGGCTTTTCGTGGCAAGGCAAAGATGACGAGCCATGGGCCTATTGGCAAGCTTGGGTGACTGTCCCAAGACAAAGATGAGCGGGCATGGCCTGGACCAAACATGCGATTGTGGGCCGAATGTGGTCGACAGACCAAAAGGAAGAGGTGGAGCAAGGCCGACTTGGCCAAGGGAGGTGGGTTGGGCCAGAACCTCTTGGACCGACCCGAGTTCGAGATCCGACCCAACCTGGTACGGTTCGTTTTGAATCAAATTGGTAGAACCGCATGGACCAAAATGGTTCAATTTGGGTCGATCCAAGTAAGATCACGGGCAGCGGGTCTGGCGTGCCTCGTGAGGGGGCATGGAGTGGAATGGAGGCAGCTGCTGAGGCTAACTTTCCTCCTCTAGTAACTCTGAGAGCTGATATCACCCGATGTGACAGATCATGGAAGTGGTGCAAGGATCGGGCTCCGATAAGGGAGGTAATGGGTCGGATGAGGAGGAGGCATGAGAGATGGAGATGAAACCCCTATGGTCGAGGCACATGGACTCGAGGTGCAGACATGGAAGTGGCTCCGACATAAGCAAGTATCATGTAACAACCCTTTATATGATGGCGATGATGATCCGCGGTTTAGGGCTACCCCTTATGTTATTGAGTTTTCCAAGTTTAATGGAGAAGAGGACGTGGGTTTATGGTTGTATTCGGCAGAGAGGTGGTTTAAGAACCACTCCGCTAGGAAGGGAAGAAGTCGCATCTGGTGTGCCTTTTCTCGAGGGTGCTGAATTGCAGTGGTGGGAATGGATGAAGAGGTCGTACAAAGAAGGAGAGATGGTCATCTCTTGCCCAAAGTTTAAGGAGGAGTTGATGTACCAGCTCGAGAAGTCTGATGGTGGGGGCCGGAGCAGTTGCCAAAGCTGCGGCAGACAGTGATGCTAGCAGAGTTCAAGTCCGAATTCCTCAACTTGGGAAATAATGCCACCCAATAAATTGTGGAGGTCATGTTACTGAATGTAGATGTGGCTCAAAATATATTTCAAGTATAATAGAATGAAATAATCATAGTATCATTGTTTAAAATCAATATCTTATATTTTCCAAATTTCACTAGATCATTTCAATCGTTGTCATAACTAATCCACTAAGGTTTTCTTGTATTCTTTTCTCAACACAAATAGAATTTTCAACACTCAAAATTAAACTTAACAATCATTATGCATGCCCTGTGTATATAAAAACATGAGAATATTGACCAATAACTAGCACAGCTCAGTTAATGAAATTAAACTCAATATAGTACCAATAATCAATTAACAAAACATCACAAGTACAACCTATATATAAAATTAGATTAACTAACAAATCTAGAAGGATGCCTCTAATATTCGGAGTAGGGATGTCAATCCAACCCGTAACCATGGGTACCCTACCCGACCGTAACCGGTCAACGAGGGTAATTACCCGCTTTGACGGGTTAAGGGGCGGGTACGGGTAATCCCCTTTCATCTTAATTCATGGCCACAATTATACATGTATGCACACATCGTGAAATGCTTCTCCTCTTTGCTAACCCACGGTTCTTAGAGCCTTTTCATTTACTCAAAATCCTAGGAAGAACATATATTTGCATGCATTCACGCCAAGACATATAAATACACCCATGCATCGGTTTAAACATAAAATGAAACACCTTTGTGAACTAATGCAACCATAACAGTTTTTTTTTTTTTTTGCTAAAATTATCCGCCCTCTACAATTAACACCAAAACCCCTAAATCCTCATTCCCTTGACCATTTCTTTTCCCATAAATAAATAATACACTTCTACAAAAACTTGTATAAGTTTTCACCCAACCAAAAGAAAACTCCTCCATTCCGAGCCTTGCCCAGCTCCTCATGCAAGATTGCCACCAACTCTTAAAGGAGAAGTAAGAAGTACCTTGTATATATTTAGTGTCTCCTCTCTAATCTCCTTCGCCGATGTAGACGATTATTATGTTTGTGTGGATTGTAGAAGGCAAGAACAATTATTATGTGTTTGCTGTTTTTATTTGTGTGGATTGTTGAAGCTAGAACAGTTACAAGTATTGAGAATTTTTAATGGACAACAATATGTGTGTGCATATATGTGTATAAGTTCATAGTTTAACATTCGTACCCATGGTTACCCGAATACCCGTGGTTACCCGGTGGGTAGGGTATGGTTATATAATTTTCATACCCGGTGGTTATTTGGTATAGGGTAAACCCGTACCCGATCCTACCCATTTCCATCCCTAATTCGGAGGCCATATGCCTAAGGGGCTCCCAGCACACCCCCATAGCCGCCTCTGTTGAATCGATCAACGAGTGAAATAGTTCAAGAAACGTCGTAATTGTAGCGTTTACTGGGAGAGTGGTCCAAGAACTATTTTTTGCTATTACAACATTTTGTGTTGGATTATATTAATGAATTTTCTTTATTTTTCAAGTAGTTGAAAGAATTCTTTAATTTATCATGTTTGCATATTAGTCTCAAGTATTATTTTCCTAATATAACACGAACGAAATTCTATTATATAGGTCCAAGTTACACTGCTCCGTAATTCCAGTTATTATTATGCACAACTTATTTGAACGCATAAACAAAATACCAAATCTTGTGACACCTCGTTTTTTTTTTTTTTTTCTTTTGGTTATGGGCTAGCCAAACAGCTAATTAAGATATGGACGACCGAGGGGAGCCGACCCGAACCTGAAACACTCAAGTAAAAACTAGAGGCCCATGTACCTTTTCCTTCTTGTTTCTGGACTTAAAGTAGAGGGCCAAATTGTAACCTCTGAGCCCAAAGGTTATACATATTCATCATGGCAAGTCGATTTGTGACCAAAATAGCGAGCTCGGTAAAAAAGTGCTACCTGATTATGTGATTATAAGTTCATAACCATTGCACCTTATAATTTGCCATTTGGCATTAGCATTATATGTGAATGTAATCAATCAAAACAATAACCAAAGAGTTCCGAAGAAACAAAGAAATATCAGTACTATTTTCGGAGACCAGAACGAGCTGTCTTATCCATTGGCATCGAAACATCTTCCCCCCCTACTTATATGAACCGGTGCAGGACAGACCCATACTTGGATTAGAACAGAACCAAACCTTGCCACCAAGCAGCAGAAGAAACCAATCATTATCCACACAAAAAATGCAGGCAGCTCCAGGCATGATAGCCCTCATCGTTCCCATGAAACCAGTGGCCAGTAACTTATCTGGCCAAGCTGCAGTATCCCCAAGATGGCCATCGGCCTCTTCCCGCAGCAGTAACACTAGCTTCGTCGTGCGAGCATCTTCTGTGAACTACAACTCCCTCGTCTCGTAAGCCCTCGTAGCACTTTCTTTCTATAGTGGAAGTTGCTAGCATCTAAACACCAAAAGCCTCTCTTATATTTACTGCTTTAAGATCAGTTCATCAACTGTCTTTCAGTTATCAGGTGAAGTAGTTAGGAGATGGGTATTCATGTATGTCGGTCATTGCTTACCATGAATCGATCAACTCAAAGGAGATTTGAAATTGGTTTCAGGGTATTCCCAGCTGAGGCCTGCGAGATCCTGGGTGGAGATGTGTGCTTGGCGGAAATGTACCCAGAAGTGAAGCTGCAGAGAGGAGATGATGATCATCAAGGCAGGAATAATCAACGAGCCAGAGTTGCTTCAGACCTTGTTGAGAGAGAGTACCTGGAATACAATGATGCCAAAACGTAAGTGGCAGATCAATGTTACATGACATTTTGACCATCTGTAACTGTAAGTGGATGGGTTATGGCTTTGGAAGCTCAAGTGGTTGCTGTTTTTATGTTTTGGTTTTGTTCCAGGGTGTTCCCTGCAGAGGCTTGTGATAATCTTGGTGGAGAATTCTGCAGCAGCGAGTATCAAAGAGGAGTGCATTAATGTCAACTCTTTGGGCTTTGTATTGTATGGACATTTATGCTTAACTAATGTAATATATGGAATAAGCCTTTTAGTCCTAAATAAACATACCAGTTGACGCCTTGGGCATGAAATGAAATCAAAACGCATATACATGCAAGCCAAGAGATTCTCCTGGTTGCTCTGCATTATGACGAGCCCAGTGCCTCCATGCAGGGCGATTTCGGTCAGAAAGCTTGCATCTTTAGGGGCTTCCTTGGTTTCGAGACCCCACCCACGACCCGATGCTCGACTAGTGAAAACGGGTTTCGACCCGAACATTTCCCGCTTCAATTTCCAGGTCAAGGAGTTGCTGAACAGAGGCGACCTTGCTCGAGCCCGACAACTGTTCGATCAAATGCCTCACACGAATACTGTCACTGCGAACATGATGATTTCTGGGTACGTGAATTCAGGTAACGTTCAACTAGCTAGGCTACTGTTTGAAGAGACAGCGGAACGCACTGCCATCACGTGGACCATCTTGATTGGCGGCTACTCGCACGGTGGTCGGTTTGAAGAGGCCTTCCATCTCTTCGTCGAGATGTGCAGGTTCGGGACTGAACCTGATCACGTCACCTTTGCGACTCTGTTATCGGGATATGATGGTGGAGGAACGGTGAGGAGCAGCGAACCGGATCAGCTTCATGCCTACGTTGTAAAACTGGGACTCGATTCCACCGCTATAGTCTGTAACTCCTTGGTCGACTCTTATTGCAAGACAGGCCGCGTTGATTCTGCTCGCCAGCTGTTCGAAGAAATGCCTCAAAGGGATACCGTCAGCTTCAATGCGTTGATGACAGGGTATGTGAAACATGGACGGAACGAAGAGGTAGTAAAGCTTCTCGCAGAAATGATGAATTCAGACATCACCCCCTCGGATTTCACTTTCGCGGCAGTTATCGCCGCAGGGGTTGGCTTAGATGACATAGCATTCTGTCAGCAAGTTCATGCCATGACGACGAAGACCAGTTTCGTTCTCGACGTGTTCGTGGGGAATGCACTGCTAGATCTTTACTCCAAACTCGACTGTGTATCCGAAGCTTCAAAGCTCTTCTACGAGATGCCAGAACCAGATGGAGTCTCCTACAATGTGTTAATCACAGCTTTCGCCTGGGTTGGGCAATTCAGAGAATCTATTAACCTCTTCAGGGAGCTCCAATATACAAGATTTGATCGTAAGAAATTCCCTTTCTCGACCATGTTCAGCATAGCTTCCAACAAACTCGACCTCCAAATGGGCCACCAGCTCCACTCTCAGTCTATCGTTACAGGAGCCATCTCGGATGCCCAAGCAGCTAACTCATTGGTCGACATGTACGCCAAGTGTGGCGAATTTGAGAAAGCTCGAATAACATTTGCTCAGCTCTCCGATAAAACCACAGTTCCATGGACTGCCATGATCTCAGCAAACGTCCAGAAAGGACTCCTAGAGGAGAGCCTTAAGCTCTTCAATGAGATGCTTAAAGATGGCATGAGCCCTGACCAAGCGACTTTTGCTAGTGTCCTGAAGGCCTCTGCAAGCTTGGCTTCAATCTCAGTTGGGAAACAACTGCACTGCTCCACTGTCAGGACGGGTTTTCTATCAAATGTTTACTGTGGAAGTGCCCTAGTAGACATGTATGCAAAATGTGGATCGATCAGAGATGCAGTGAGATGCTTTGAAGAGATGCCGCAGAAGAACGTGGTCTCGTGGAATGCTATAATCTCAGGTTATGCACATGATGGGAATGGCGTGGCAACTCTCAAATCTTTCGAGAACATGGTTGCCTCAGGTTGCAACCCTGATTCAGTTAGCTTCTTGAGTGTTCTATCTGCCTGCAGCCACTCTGGCCTGGTAGAAGACGGGTTTCGGTGCTTCAGATCCATGATAAATGTGTATAAACTAATTCCCAAGAGAGAGCACTATACTTCAATGATCGATCTATTGTGCAGGCGCGGGAGGTTTGGAGAAGCAGAGGAATTGATTAACGAAATGCCATTCGAGCCAGACCAGGTTTTACTGTCATCAGTTCTAAACTCATGCAGGATTCACAAGAACCCCAAGTTGGCGACCAGAACAGCAAAGAAGCTATTTGGTATGGAAACCCTAAAAGACGGAGCACCATATGTGGCCATGTCGAACATATTAGCAGCAGAAGGACGATGGGAAGAAGTTGCAAATGTCAAGAAGGCAATGAGGGAACGAGGAGTCCACAAGGTTCCAGCTTATAGTTGGGTTGAGATAAAACACAAGGTACATGTGTTCTCATCAAACGACAAGAGCCATCCCCAGATCACAGAGATAATCCGAAAAATAGACCAATGGGCAGAGGAAATGGAGAGAGAAGGTTATCTACCTGACACGAGCTGTGCATTGCATGATGTGGAAGAAGAGATCAAAGTCGAGTCCCTTAAGTACCACAGTGAGCGCCTGGCAATAGCTTTCTCCCTGATCCACACGCCAGAAGGATGGCCAATCGTAGTGATGAAGAACCTGAGAGCTTGTGCTGATTGCCATGCTGCCATCAAGGTGATCTCCAAGATCGTTAGCAGGGAAATCACAGTTAGGGATTCGAGCAGGTTCCACCGTTTCAGAGACGGGTTCTGCTCCTGTGGTGATTACTGGTAAACTGCTGACGAACTATGCCAACATCCATTCATTCAACAATAGAGTGTACAGCACAGGAAGGAAATGACTTTGGAACAAAATACTGCTCTATCTAATTCTTTCATCTGTAACTTGTCGATTCAAGGAACTGCAGCAAAAGGAAGCCCATGAAAGGCAACACTAGCTCAAAATTCGACATGATTGATTCATTCATTGCAACAGCAATATTCATGGCCAAATAAAGGAAAGGACTTGGAAAAAAGAAACCCCGCTAAGAAACCAGAGATTGCTACTGCTACTATTACTACTTCTTGCCCTTGATGTTCTTATTGAAAACAGCATCAGGAACGACTTTGAGCGATTTCCGATCTTTCGACTTGGCGATCTTCTGCAGAGTCTTGGGATTACTGATCCTCTGCAGCTTGGTACCAGACTTGAGCACATTCTCCTTCTTCCTCTTTTCCCTCTCTTCCCTGGCCTTCCTCTTCTCCACTTTGTTGCTCCTGATCACCTCCTTCAGCTCGTTCACCCTTTCTCTGTATGCCTTCTTGATCTGCTTCTCCTTCTGCCTCTCCTCGAACGGCGCCACTCGCCTGCTCACCACCTTGGCCGACGACCGCTGCTTTCTGGCCTGCTTCCAGTTCCTTCCCGAGACCCTCCCCGCAATCACTCCGTCGTAGGTTGGGGTCCCGAAGGTCGGCTTGTCGGGATTGTCGGCGGAGGGGACCGCCGACCGCTTTGCCGGCGGGGGCAAGGAAGAGTCGATCTCCATGGAGTCATCGTTGCTGTAGCCAGCGGCGGCGGCTGCCTCGGCCTCGCGCTTGCGCTTGTAGGTCTTGCCGCCAAAGCCTTCGTCAAGGTAGCGGAAATCGATGGTGCAGGCCATCGTTAACTTGCTCCTTTGGCGGAAAAATGAAACCCTAGACAACGAAAATTTTGGGGATTTCTTCTGTAAGGAGGTTATATAGGTCGCGACTCGTGAGAACTGAGAAGGCGGTGCATGGGCCTGGTTCGGGTCCGGGTCCGGGTCCGGGTCCGTATTCGCCCGCATTCCTTAGACTTGGGGTTTAGAAGTTAGAAACAACTACCAAGGTTGTCAAACATACCATTACACATTTACATTCGTTTAGCAAGTGAAATGGTGGATCGAAATATAACTGATTAATGTCGGTTTATGCAGGGTTTAACAAAATACATGAGAAAGTGAAAAACCGAACCCACCAAAACCAAAGACGATTGCAGTTCTCCTAAATATATCAACTGATCTGAATTCTGAACCCACCATCAGGAGAAAGGTTCTAAATGTCAAGTATAAGCATTAACCCAATCCACTCATAATTGCTTCACTCTGTACATCCATCGGGAAAAATGAAGCATTGACCCACAGGCCACAACAATCAATAGATCCACAGGATGTGAACGCGGGCAATTACAAGGTGCAGTTCAACAGCACCCCAATGCGGATTATTATCTAATCTAAGCAAGTTTTACAATGTTAGTAACTTCCTTTCCTAGCCTTGGCAGATGTACAAGACCCCTGAAATGAAATCTCTACCTGGCGGTGCCACCGCTGTTGCATTCCTTGAGCTATCTACATATCATGCCTAGTTGACATGCTGCCGCCCCATCTCCAAAATCATGACATCCCTCCTCCCATATTAGCCATCCCCATAGAAACCTCCTCTTCTAGAACTCGACATGGGCTCATCTGCTCCATGGAAAACAAGACCCATTTTAACAATTAAACATGATGTTATGACTGCAGAAACTCGATACAACAAAGAATGAGCTATGTCAACCAGCCAACATGAAAGCCAGATCCCAGCCAAAGTTTACATAGTAATCAAAACTTTTGCTTCTAAGAATGTCACTGATCAGGATATTCTGACAAAATAAAAGATTCAAACAGACCTCCTCCTTAACCCCATCACTGGCCCATTCCTGGAGATACCTCGAAGTGCAAGTGAAGAATTCCAGCCATAAAGTCAAAATCTTAAGATGGACTGCTAGAGTATCCTCACAGAAACGATCAAAGAAAACAACACCAAAATCTTAGGCTTGTGACTAAAAACCATCTTCCGTGGTTTGGAAGCTACGACCTTAACAAAGAGCACTTGTTTTCTCCCTTTTACCAATTACAATCTCAGGTAGTACATGGAAGAAGTATGAGGTCTTAAACTCCTAGTGCTGGCCAAAATTTTCATCTTTTCAAATGAGTAGCTATTCCCTAAACAAGACATCAGAACGGAAGCTTACCATCAATGTCACCTTCATCTCCATTTTGTGTAGTGAAAAATGGGGTGAGATAATTCCTATCTAGTGATGTGAACGACGGGGTGCTGGAAATAGACAAAAACAGTTAGATGATAGATAAGAACAAAAAATTAAGACAAGAAACTTAGGAAAAACCATGCTAAGTATTTCGATGAGCAAAGGGGAAGAATTTATATCTTACCTCCTGCGGAGCTCCTTCAGTTTCAGCTTGAACCTATTCTCTGATGTTGAATCATCATCGTAGGGAGGAGCAATGTATCGAAAATTATCACCAGAAGTCTGCAAATGCAAAGTAGTGAAGAACAGTTAAAGTAAAGCGACAGATCATTATCTATCGGCATGTTGCATGGACAAGAGCAAATGATCTACGCATGCATGGCCAGATTTAGAAATATTGCTACTTTACATTTGTTATGAAACATCTGAATTACTATGTTGATTAACAAATATTCCACCTCAGCGGATAGATGATTCAACTTCATAGTCAGTTAACAGATGACCAGTTGATAAATACAACTTGAATGTTCACATTTAGCGTCAGTTAAAACCAGGGCTTTACCAACCCGGTCAAGGTGGAGTTACAGCCATAGTATATTGGTTAATTAATTGCCTAATTTGCCACAGAAGACTAGGAAATGGGAAAAGGAGACACAGAACAAATAGGTGAAAGAGCGCACTATTTCAGGTAAACAAATATGAGTATTGAAAAAAATCGAAGAGTAATTAGAGTCTGTAAACGGAAAAGCTTACTTCGTCCACATCCAAGGGGCTCTCGTGCCCCTCGCCAACAACTTGCAAAGCTTCTAGCATAGTACCTGTTGAACCTCCAATCAGGAGCACCTGCGACATCTCACACAAGTAGGAGCTGTCAAAGACTGTACAATGGATGTGCAGAGTAATAACATGCTTAAGCTTAACAGTTTAATCAGATAATAAAAATCTATAAGTGCCAAATAATGTTACTTAGATCATGATTTGGTGCACCTGCCATTATGAGAATTTTGGGTTTAGGTGTGACTAAGTACTGTTCAATGCACATATGTAGTTTGAGAAGGTTAGTACCGTCAAGACAACTATAGCAGTTGTGGCAGTGAATATAGTCTGGCCATGTCCTTCCGGCAAATCATGAACAGATTGCAGCGCCAGTGCAAAAGCCATAGCCCCTCGAAGTCCTAGATAGACACAGCTTATTAATACAAAAGATGAAAGACAATAATGATTTCTAAAATAAATCAATCCTCCTTTTCTTACCACTATACCAGAGTGCTTTCTGGTGATTTATAGGTATGTGACGATGGGAAGGTCGAACCAAATTGACCATATATGCACAAGAAAAGACATTAGCTGCCCTACAAAAGTTAATTGGATATTCTGAGTGATATATCCAGTATAAACGAAACAGCAAATAATGGGGAGGGGTGATTTTTGAAACCATGTAAATGAAACTACTGATATCTTATCAGAAAACATGAATGTCAGCGAAAGAGCAGCAGATTGTATACCTTGCAACTCCAATGAATATCTACGGTAGTAAAAAGATAAGTTAAGAAATGACAAGAAAAGGTTCCCCTTTATACAATATTTACAGTTTTTATTTTTATTTTTGTAACAAAGAAGGATACAATTGAGAAGAAGATAAACCCAACATGGGACCAGCTATGCTGTTCCATCGCAATATCAAATCCCATGTATATGAATCTGCAAAGTGAGAAAATTGAATCAAAACAACTTGTGAGATGACATTTTTCTGAGTATAATATCACACTGAAGAAATGTTGTTCAAGTGTGTTTGAGAACATAATAATTGTTTACTCACATAAATGTCTCAGCCAGTGATGATATTAGATGGAAAAATGCAGAAACGAAGCGTTGCGAATTTTCTGACAGATTTGAGTAGCCATAATGTTTCATGACCTGAAAAACATGTGCATATATGATGACTGATAAAAAAGGCATATCATCATGCAATGTTTTAAGTAAAGAACAACAATAACAAAAAGGAAAGAAACACAGTTCACAATGATAATCAACAATTAGAAACAAGTTTCTCCATGACCATGAATACATGATTGCAAGTCCAAAATAAAAGAAAATAACTGTAGGTTCATCTCAGAAGAACTGTTTTAAGTACTCTTTAACAGAGTTCTTTCAAATAACAAATTCCAAGAGTAGATGCCTGGAAAGCAAGTCGTCGTTGTTTTGCAATAACAATACTTCACATAATCCCACAGAGGAAGGGAGCAAACAACTAGAGTTCGCATACTACTTACAATTCCTGTGAATAATATTGACACAATTCCAGAGAGGCCCAGACCTTCGGCAAGCATGTACCTATAAAAGAGTTAAAGTTAGGTTAAATGAAAACAAAAATTGAAGTCTTATGAATGTGAGGATGGTAGATTCTAGACCAGGAGATGGCTTACGAAAAATACGGAAAAAGAACGAATAGGCAGCACTCCAAGTTCTGGAGACTGAAAAGTTGAAACAGAGAGAAAGTAAGCAAACAATTTTGACCCATCAAATAATATAACCAACATCAGAAATATATTTTAACAAAGGAAGGTATAAACAACACTCACTTGTCAATATCCAAACCAGCATATTTGAAAAGGTTTTCAGAATTAAGGGGGCACAGTATACTCTGACAGGTAGAACTGGTGAAAAGCAGCAAACAATATGTGGGATGATAGGTGCGTAAAGAGCAAATTAAAAAGGATATCAATGCTGAAATAAAGCCAACTCCTACGCCTGCACAAGAAATATAAAATATAAAAGTCTGTCAGTAAATGAGAAAACATAGATAACATATAACAGGGTAAGGTGAGCAACATTGAACACCCCAAATATAGTTGTTATCATTCCATCACGAAGGAGACTATAGTGGCTAAGAATCCATGAAGACCCATTGCTCAAACACACCTCTACTCAGAGGACATGCACCACATATTTAACTCTTTGCAAAAGGCTGATAACCCAAACCTATCAAGAGCCCAGAAATATTTTGGCATTTACCTTCCTTGCAGCCTCTATAAAAATAAATACTGCAAACTATCAATGAACTTCATAACAGTTGCGAATGCAGCTAATATCATCCATATGACAGGGAGGAAAGAGAGTTTCAGAGCTTGATCTCCCTGTCCTGGTCATATTTCGTATTTCAGAGCCTTAGCAGTGACAACTGGCAACAGTAAAAGTCCGTACCTATCGCCGCAAAAGCAGAATTCCTTATTACACAACCAGGCTAATCCAAATTATTTCTCTCCTCGCTTTATTCTATCATGTGCAACATATGGCTTTATTAACTAACGGTCCCGACAAGGTTTAAATCATTAGATAACTGAGTGGACAGAACTGCAAATCCAACAAAGTTACCATAAAAAAAGATTTGAAGAGCACACAGTTTGTTTAGCCCAGAGAGCTGGATTGACGACAAGCGTGGTAGTTATTGAGACTAAAACCAACAGAAAATGTTTTCCAAATAAGATACATAGCAAATTTCTTTTATCGTTAAATAGGCTAGACTTAAAATGTGGGGAGAAGAATATGGGTTTTAATCAAACAAGCCATAGTAACAGTATCTCGGGACAAACCTGCAGACATTGATCCAACAAAGGTCTCGAGAAACCGGACAACCACCATGAAGAAATTCTGTCCAGATGATACATGACTTCTTGCCAAGGACATAGTCCTGCACACCAAAACAAAGCTTGAACTAACGATGCACATGGATCCGGTCTTTCTTTTGAGGTGAAGAGCATGATTGGCCTGTACCTATACAAGGATATCGCCATCTAACACCAAAACAGCAGAGAAAAGGAACCATCATTGACAAGCTATTCAGACAGTATGTATTAGGTGTTCTGAGACAATGGTAGTATAGTAACATAAACTTACCGCATCATTAAGAACCGATTCTCCGAACACCAGTGCATACAGATTCATATCCGTTCCAAGTTCCTAGAATAAGGATATAGCAAAAGAAGGACAGAGACAAAGAAATTGCTGAACCATGTAAGAAGTGCTGTCATAGAAAATACAGAAAAGAAAATTGCCAGGCTTAAGTCTCAAGAAATATCAGAGCTCAAGTTCCAGCTTACAGAAGCTAAATATTGTAGAGCAATGAATTTATTCAAAATTCCATCATGATTTGCTTCTGCAAGAACAATTGATTCCCAAGATGCAGAAAGCCAAAACATGCAGGAAGGAACGATGCAATACATAGTACACATTCTATTCCAGTATAATGTCGACAACTCTTAGAAACAAGCATGTTTGATACTTTATCGCAGTTACAAGTGACGCAAAAGATTATTCTGGCTAAACAATAGAACATGAGAAATACCTGAAATATGGATAGGACAGTGACTGGGTCTGTGGCTGATATCAGAGCGCCAAACATTAGGCATTCGACAAATGGGAGCTTGTACATGAGGAACATTAGACCACCAAGGTAACTTAGCCAAGGAAACATCCACAACAAAAAATGGGGCAAAACCATCAGTATCTCTGATAGTGAGCTGACGGACAAATAGCAGGGAAAGTAGGGACAAATATACTTACACTAGAACGCCAGTAACAACTGAAGATATAAAGGTTCCCAGGATAGCAAAAGTTACAATGGCCCCGAAGTTGGAGAAGAACGGTTTCTGCAGAGGAAAGGACAAGGAGAGGCCATCGTGTAAGAGGTCATTTCCTTTCCACATGCAGAAGTGACTAAATGACATTAGCTACTACTTACTGGTTGAAGACTGAAACCTGACTGAGTGAAGCACAAACACAAGTCAAGGAGAAACCCAAGTACAAAAGAAGGGAATTCATTACTGTCACATGAAAAGAAGACCGCAACAGCTAGACAATTGGAAAAGTAACAACAAATAACGAGAAGAGTCGAGCCATTTCGGATATAAGATAATTGGGGGTAGCAGGAAGAGGAAGAAAAATTCCTCGTGGAAATTAAACCAAGCCCTGCAAGAGAAAAAGGAATTCCAAGAAATAATGATGCATAAGAGGAAACATTCACGGAGAGAATAAGAATTGTGCAAGGAATGATCAAAATGACCTGATGCTAGTTTCAGTGTCAGAGATGTTAGCAAGCGCGCCAACAGTTAACCCTGGGAATGAAAGGACGCAAATAAGACGATCATGGATAAGAGATCCACAAGTTAAGTAACTGGTTCAATTCTGGGAAGAGGATTACATACCAATGAGAAGAGAAGCACTGGCCTCCGGAAGATAGTAGAATTTGTGACGGCGGAGGACGTGACCGAGGACGAAGGAGAGGACCAGCATCATGATCTGAAGGAGGATGCCGACTCCAGCGGCTTGTTGTTCCTTTCCCGGGTGCAACGACGGCGGAGAAGAAGTAGAAGAAGAAAAGAGGCTCGCCGGCGATATTTGACTTCCTCCTCCTCCGCCGTCACCGGCGTCATGACCGCTCGTCATCGTCAACGTCGTGGCCATCGAGAACATGCTACAAACAACAGGAATAGTTCAGAAGAATCAGAAATGGGGAGAAAAATTCAGCGAACTGCTCTCCTTCTTTCTTGTTCCAACCAGTACTGCATCTCTCTCTTTCGCGCGGGCTCAGTAAGCGAAGCCAAAATCAACAACCCTCGTCGATTCAGTAGCACAGCTGCTGCACGCTACTGGAGATTCGAGTCGAGAGGTCGTGTGAGAAATTAGAAAGTGATCAATTTCGTATTGACTGTTTTTCTCTCGTTGCAGTGCTTGCGCCAATTTGAGATATACCCCGTAGGTATTGCACTTTTGTCACTCTTCGTACTCTTTTTTTTTTAATAAACACCCTTAAAAAAATTATATGAACTGTTATTATTTCCAAGACAAAAATATCAGACTAATCTGAACGCTGCGCCAATGCACCATTTACATTCTCAACAAGCAAAAGCCTATCCAGAAGCAGAACAGTAAAAATATCAGATTACTTGTTGCAAGAGGAAATATTGCAATTTATAACGAAATCTCAATACAAACAAAATTCATGAAAGGTGAATTGGCGGGGAAGCCCCCTATCTACTTGGCTCCTGCATCTCTCTCAGCATTACATTTCTCAAGGATACATATGAGGGGGCCATAATGGCCGGGGAAAATCGTTACAAGAAAGAAGCTCATTCATTTAGATGCGGCACCATTGCCATTATTAGAGCCATGTTCCAAATCTAGCTCCACGATGTTGGCATCGAAAAAGGCCTCGTGGAGGGCTCTCACGCATTGCTCTGATTCGCTGTCGTTCACTATCAACGAGATGTTCACCTAAGAGTATTACAGAACAGAGAGGGTTAACTTGTTAGACAAGGAGAAAATGGTGAAGAAACTTGGAACCACAGTTAGGTGTTTGTGAAGTTCTAGACCTTAGATGCACCCTGGGAGATCATCTGAACATTAACACCATTGGTTCTAAGAACGCGGAACACCTTCTCTAGAATCAAAGAGGACCTCTGCACATTTCCAATCAGGGATATTATCGATCTGTTTTGAAGAAGGTTGACGATGGCTATTTTTTCCAACTCTTCAACGACATGATCGAGTTCCTGGTGAAGAAAAGAAGAAGAAAAGAATGTTAACAGCTAATATATGGGATGCTGGACAACTATTATCACATTTTTTAATTTCTTTTTTCTTAATTTTTGGCTCAAATGGAAATATGAGAACGAACATTGGGTAAGCTTGCCTGCTGAATCAGTTCCCTACTCCATAGCTTCGATGGATCAAGTGTCAATGAAATACTAACTTCACTAGTAGCTACAACATCCACTGATATTCCTAAATCTTCAAAGATAGAAAACACCTACAGAAGCAAATACAAGACATCTTAGTGGATACTAAAGCAAATGTGAAAGTTTTGATGACAGCCGTAAGTTTGTAATATTTTACTGGGCTCACCTTGGCCAGGAAACCGAATTGACCAAGCATGCGAGTGCTTACGATATCCAACATCGTAACATTCCGTTTTAAGACAATGCTTGTTAACACAGCCTGAACTTAACGAGAAAAAGATGAACACAGGATGAATGACTCTTGTAAAAAAAAAGAGGATGAATGACTGATGCAAATTACGACAACATGACTTGCAGTATTTATACACTGACCTTACTCATGTCTCTTGACTTTGTAATCAGTGTTCCAGGGGCGTTTGGGTTATAAGAATTCTTAACCCGAACTGGAATATCACCTTCCCTGGCCGGTCTCATGGATTGTGGGTGCAGAACCTGCAGAATGAACGAACAGCTTAGTTCTTTCGTGATTGAAAAAGTGAAATGTTTTCTTACCCTTGATGTGCAACACAAAACTTTCACTTGCTTACTTATTGCCAATTCAGTTGCAACTTCAAAATTTCAGATTCAGCTTAAACTCAAGATCACTTCCTATACCTGGGCGCCAAAATAAGCAAGTTCTGCTGCTTCATCGAACGTCAGATATGGAACAGGTTCTGCCTTAGAATATATGTTAGGGTCACATGTCAAGACACCATCCACATCCTTCCATACCTGCAACATTTAGTACATACAGTTACGGGGAAGGTATTCCACAATTTCAAACCACTGGCAGTCTCATATTGATCATTCTAACAATAAAATGTGTGCATTCGTTGAAAAAAAGAACGGCTTCTAGACAGGAATACCACAAGCAATTCAACTAACCTGAATTTCCCGCAAACCTAAAGCTTTTCCAATGGTTGTGGCTGTTAAATCACTGCCTCCTCTACCCAGAGTTGTTATGGCACAAGTCTTCCAGCCCTAATTACAAGGAAATTAAAGGTGATAAGAAGAACTGTAGCACCCACAATTCGGGTAACGTATTATAGAATAACCTTTTTGTTCCCAAAAACAAAGAAAGTATAACTAGAAAGAGAGAAAGACCTTTCCGAGGAAGCCTGTGACTATTGGTATTGCCGGATCACTAATCCAATCTCCATGTAACCTCTTAGCAACAGCAGGATAAGTTGCTTCGAGGATGTCAGAATTCGTGAAGTCATCCGTAGTGATAAATCCAATATCGAATGCATCATACTGCCAAGGGAAACAGTAACTATTAGTATGACAACCTTTACCATTGCAAATGGTGAAGCAGAAACCAAGAACCTATATACCTGACGTGCTTTTGTACCAAGTTTATTTAAATATGCAGCAAAAATCCTTGTAGACATACACTCTCCAAAGGAAACTAGGTAGTCTCTCGTTCGTGGAGTCAACTCTTTCATCATAGCAATCCCCTTCAAGAGTTGCTCTAGTTCTTCCAAGTGCTCTGCCAAAAGAACAGACATAGGTATAATAGACATTATATTCTAATGATCTTTTCTACAAATGCTAATGGCCTAATGCCTAACCACATGACATGAAAGCAAACGACTTACTTGCAACAATCGACTTCTCCAATCCCAGCTCCTCCAGAGTTCTACCAAAACAACATCATCAACACAATCCGGATCATAAACAACGAAATTCGTGTTCCAATCGAATTAAAGCAGAAAACTTCAAATCAACCCCTTACCGAAAATGCAAATCCCTAATGAACCCAAGTTCATCAATAAGTTCTGCGTTAGTAACACCACAGCTTACTGCTTTTTCTCCAGCCTATGTACACCAAAAAAAGGACAAAGCTCAGAAACGAATCCTTTAACAACATAGTAAGGAAATCCCAAGCATTATTACCAGCAGAAGTTTATTTGTGGTCTTTCCCATTGCCGATAATACAACAATGGGATTCTCTTCCGGGAAACTCCTTATCAGCTGAGCGACCTCCCTCATCCTCTCGGCAGAGGCCACTGACGAGCCGCCGAATTTCATGACGCAAGAGAACTGCTTCTCCGCTTCGTCCCCTTCATCGTTACCAACGCCACCACTCTTCTCCAGAACTTCTACTGCTCGTCCCCCATCGCAAGCGATTCTCGGCAAAACCCTACGGGAAGAAGAACACGAAAGTTTGGAACTTTCGCAGAACCCAGAAGTGATCACGACGGAATCAGAGAAACGGAACCGGCTGGAATAGCAGAGACCCGCCGCACCCTCGGGGAGATTACTAATAGGGCGGGAAACTCTAGCGCCGGAGAAATGCAATGCCGCCAACATTTTGAAATCAGTTTTTCCTTCTCGGGGTGTCGACTGATTTTGGGAGAGGAAAAGTGGGGAATGAAGGTTTATAGGCCGCCGCCAGAGGAAGATACCGGCGAGTGAAGCAAAAACCCTTGGCGGCGGCGGCGGGAGGGGGGATTGTTTACGTTTTGGTGATCTTAGAAAAAACTTGCGTTACTGGTTTGAGAAGAGCTGGAAAAAAAATCAGAAAACAGAAAGAAAACAGAGAAAAAACGTGTCGTCGTTTGTCTGTTAGATTAGAGAAAACCCTGGGACGGGAGTTTACGATTTGACGGACCAGAAGAATCCGTCGGTTTATATCCAACGGTGAAGAATTACTTTGACATTAAGGTTGAAAAATATGCCGCGCAAGTGCAATGAAGGTTGAAAATTATGACATGTCACATGAGGATGAGGGAGTAAATGGAGCTATAATTAGATTAGATTAGATTGTAATTGGAGTAGCCCATGCCATTACTGGCCAGGTCGTGTTTAGGCCCTCATAAGTGTTTGATCGGAGGTTGTGATTTGTGAAGTTGTTAGGGTAGATAGCTCTGCTCTCTATAAATATGTAAGGGAGAGAAGCAATTCCCTCTCTCTTGTCCAAAGCCGATGGCAACGTTCGATAATAGCGGTAGACATGCATGTTGATTGTTGTTTCAATCTGTACTAAAGACATGGAATCAAACTATAGTTGATTTGTTGTGCTTGACATTCCAATTAATAACTGCAAATCGTCCACAACAACTTGATTTTAACTTGTCTGGATAAGTATTGACCTAAGTTCATTGCAAATGTTATAAGATAAGATAATATCATGCATGTAACATTTGTATTATGTCTCCATTTGGTTTACACTCATATTTGTTTAATAAATCCTCAATTATTTATCTAATGAAAAAGAGAGATCACCATTAGGATTTCAAGAAAAACTAGAATGTAGGTAGAATATATTATTAATTTATCTAATGATCTCGATTAAACATGCACCACCTATAATAATTCATCTTAATGACAATACCTACCCACATATTGCGGTTTACCATTCTCTCATGCATGCAAATTTGGGGCTGCAACGATAGAACGACGCCAATTGTTGTAAGCTCCACATTCTTAGCTTAGCCCTCTCTCTGTCCATCCTCTCCATTTCCCCCTACAAATAATTACAGAGCCACATCGTCGTAGAACCATATCACAAAAGGCGTACATTTGGGAGACCATCAAACATGAAGATCAACAACGTAGTCGTCGTCTTGCTGGTCGTCTTGGTAGTTTTCGGCACCGTCGTCGAGGATGGTCCTCGTCTTTGTGTTGCGGATGCACATATTGATTGCATAAATAAGTGCCTGCGAGAGTCTCCTGGCATTGATCGATATCTCATTGGACAGTTCTGTGAAAGCTCGTGCAAGGATGTACATCGTTAAGACTTAAGAGTTTTAAAACACGAGGAGATCATTACGCAGACAGGCTGACCCTCTTAGGCTTTACACAATTGGATGGTGTATGGGTGTGTGTGTCAATATAGGTCGGCATATTGAAATACAAGTATATTTCATGTATTTTCTATTGAAAAGGAGAGAGTGTGTGTGAATAAACCACTCATGTTTATTTTCCAAATAACGATTATTGTATGTGTATGATATTATCCATACTATATGCAGTCAATAAAAATAAACAATATATAATGTTTTTTTTTATTCTTATATTTTGAGTTCCACCTCCTGACTAGGTACAAACTTTTGGAATTGATCAATCAATTCCATGTAATCTAATGCCATCCAAACCAATTTGGTTCATTATTTGTAAACAAGAATTGATTCGGATTCGATTAGGTATTCATGGTGATGGATTATTTTGTCATTTCTATATATAGGAAATGGGTGACAAACATTAGCCTTGTTGACCATAAATAAAATACGTAGCAGACAATCGCATACGAGATTAAACTTAATTATATATGACAAATACAAAAGAGGTGGTTTTGGAATGACTAAAGTGGTTCTAAAAATAAACAAAATCGGATGACAAAATTGTCTCCAAGGTGTTGTCCCTTATATTTTATTAAAAAACCAAATTTGCATAGGAACAAGTGAACATCATTTTCTTATTTTGAATACTTTTCATTTTTTGTTGTGACCAAATACGTGATTTCATCTTGATCTGGTATTTCATATAAACTTTATGTTGAGAATCTACTGAATTTAATCACTTGATGAGAACATATTCAAAGTATTCTATGTTTTTCTTTTTATATGATCATCAAACGAAAATTGACCTATAAAATTGAAATTTTCACAAGCTATTATGCTATTTATAACTCTAGTTTGACCCTAAATTCGAACGCAGGAGGTCATTTGGTATTTGTGATTGTTAGAGTTGTGTTTATTCAATACATGCATTGTCCACAATACAATGTTCGGAAGTGTCAAAATATAAAACCATACATGTATTGTTTCAGGTAGGTCCCACAAATAATCACAAAAAATGATGCATTATACAATTTTTGTCTTCATTTATATCCCTATTGTTGAAATGGTTGATTTTAGATTTGTGTACACTTTTTGTTTTCATTTATATCCCTATTAATTTTTGTCTTATACTAAAAGTTGAGGATAAATGTGACATTTCACATAAAATAACTTTATGTTAGTCAATACATAAAGTAGAATCTCATCAACCAAACAATATATTATTAAAATGCATCCATTGTACCAATACATGTATTTAAGTTTGACCTTAAATTCGAACGTAAATACATGACCGATAATCTCACTGCATCTTTTGTAGTGAGAGATCTCATATGTTCACAACCAACTAACTTTAACTAGTATTCCAGTTACGCATTAATTACTAAACACATAATAGCAACAGTAATTAACTAGAGTTATTTTGTTAAAACATAACAGCTATAACCGGCCACGGCACCACACAACATATCTTTCGCTAAAACCGGGTGTTGAACGATTCAACCATATGATAGCTATATATATACATTCATCTTCGCAACACAAAACTAACAAAGTATAGATCCATCACATCTTACTTTGAGCCAAGAAGAAAAGTGAGGAATGATAAAAAATAATTGCTACAGCTAGCTAGCTCTAGACATTGCCACATGATGAAGATGAACGCCACAGCCATCGCTTTGTTGGTCCTCCTGATGTTATTCTCCGTCGACGATGGCCTTCGTTTCGTCGCCGCCGATGAGTACGGCAAGTGCACTCTTTGGTGCTTGCAGAACTTCCGTCAGATCATCGACGCAAACGTGATACCGGTTGTTTCGTTAGCGAAACTCGTGTGTTAACTGCGCACGGTTTTCAAGAAAAACACAAAACACACGTCAGCAAAAAATCGTCAAATATCCGCCGCCGGTGTCGGCGCCGTTGATTTGATCGATTAAAACAGAAACAAAGACGATCGTCAAATGGCCGCCGCCGGTGTCGGCGTCGTTGATTTGATCGACACACCTTTGACTTCTAATCAAACGATTGTGGGTTCGAGTCCCACCAGGTGTGCCAAAATGTTTCCTCAAGAAAACCAAATGCCACCGCCGGTGCCGAATTCGTTCCCGGCGATGTTGATCCGATGTTTCGCGATGGAAACTCTTGCGGTGCCGTTTGATCGGACGCACCGCTGTTTGCTGAAATCGATGACGATCGTCAAATATCCACCGGGCGGTGTTGATTTGATCGATGCACCTCTGAATGGTGAAATCAACGTGACCGTCAAATATCCGCCACCGAATGTCGGCGTCGTTGATTTGATCGGTGCAACTCTGACTTCTGAAAACGATGACGATCGTCAAATATCCACCGCCGTGCGATGTTGATTTGATCGATCGAACAGAAAACAAAGAAGATCGTCAAATATCCGCCGCCGGTGTCGGCGTCGTTGATTTGATCGATACACCCTTGACTTCTAATCAAACAACCGTTATTCGGTTCGCACCTCTCCAAACTACGTTCGAACGAGGGTGTTTGAGTTTTGAGGAATCTACGCTACCGCTACTCCTATGGAGATTCCTGTGGAGAGCTCCGCGACTACGACTAAGACTACAACTATGGAGATCCTTCCTGGAAGGAGAGCTCCGCGAAGGAGTTACAGAGAAAAGGTAAAGTTTTGACAGAGTTGTTCTGTGTTGATTTTTGGTTCTCCCTTCTCTCTCCTTGCTCCACTGCTTTTATTCGAAAAACTGCTTCGTAGTCTTCACGCTCGGTGGAACCGCTTCCTCAACTGCTCCGTTGTGAAATCCCGCGTGTCTCAACCTTTTCGCTCCTCAAACTGCTTCGCGTGAACTTTACGTGAATTGTTTCATGATCCCGCGATGTCGTTTCCTTTCCCAAACAGCTCCGCTTGATTCTACCCGCGACACCGTTTTAATATTAAACGACTCCGCTTCCAGCCTTGCGGTGTCATTTTCTTTCCCAACCAGCTCCGTTTGTTTTTTTCTTTTGCGACATTGTTTTTTTATTTAAACACTGTCGTTTGCTAATCCGCGGTATCGTTGAGCTTACTCGCGGTACCGTTTTGAATTAAACGACACCGCCGATATAGCCAAAAAATATTAATCCATGGAACCGCCGCAGTCGGCGCTCGCATTGGGCCGGGTGAATTTTGGTCACTTGCCCGATATGATTTTTAATTAATCGGTACCGCTTACCAGGCTCTCGCGGCACCGTTTTTAAATCCGCGGTACTGTTTTAACTCTCCGCGGTGCCGCTTGTCTCCATGCGGTACCGCTTCTCCCCTTCCCACAAGGAATAACAATAATAATAATAATAATAATAATAATAATAATAAAATCCTTTTCCAACACCAATACCAAAACGCACGTTCTTATTTTCCGGCGGTGTCGTTTTCTGTGTCGCGGTACCGCTGAGCTTCCTTGCGGTACTGTTTTTAATTCCGCGGCACCGTTTTAGCTCTCCGCGGTACCGCTTCTCCCCATCCAACAAGGAATAAAAATAACAATAATTAATTATAAACAAAACTCCTTTTCCAATACCCTACTAACCGCGCGGCCCCCTTTTGATTTTCGGTATCGTTTCCAGTACCGCGGTACCGCTGAGCTTCCTTGCGGTACCGTTTTAACTCCCCGCGGTGCCGCTTCTCCCAAGGAATAAAAAATAATAATCAAATAATCAAAACTCCTCCTCCAACCCCATTAAACGCACGACCCTTTTTTATTTTCGGCAAGCGGTGTCGTTTCCAATGTTGCGGTACCGCTGGGCTTACTTGCGGTACCGTTTTTTGTTTCCCGCGACACCGCTC